TGTCCACACAACAGTTTCCTTCATTTTTAGTTCTGACTGTGTAATCCCTGCACAGCACTCCATCTCCTATTTACCCTAAAGACTGCAAGAATGTGGCATCAAAATCAGACATTGTGAAAAACTGCCCCTATCGTTTTGATATTTGTTTCCTAAGTCTCTAGGGTGAAACACAATTTTATAGCCATAATGGGCTCAAGATGTAAAAGAAGGAATAAACCCACCTTCAAACAGTAATGACCACAACCACCTACAATAGGCCATAAGGCTGAATGTTTCCCTAGACAGAGACCCATTAATGGCATTTTGTAGATAGGCTCATGTTAGAGTCTAACAAGAAAATTTAGTCTCCTTGTGTGAGCAGAAAGGCAATTTATCTCTATGGCATTGACAACAGAAGATGAAAGTAAATTAAGAGCTATAAATCATTGCCTTATCATTGAAAATGCTACTTGATACAGAACTAGCAATGCTGCCACTTGAAATGGCTATAATTTACAAGAGGTGGCAATGAGGATAATTCATATACGGGTGAAATATAAACCTGTTAAGAAAGATCTTATGTGAAAATTTAATCTCAAAACATGGCAGAGGGCTAGCCAGTCAGTTCAGTTGGTTAGAGCACAGCCTTATAACACCAAGGTCAGGGGATCGGATCCCCATATATTCCAGCTGACAAAAACCAAAAAACCATGGCAAGAGCTTTCAGACTGCCACCCCAACTTAAAACTAAAAATTATGAAAGTCTCTCCATTTCTCCAATTCCAAAATAGCTAAAACTCTTAATGCATTCTAAACTCAAGTATGTATCATCCCCACCAAGTCCAAGAGACGGGAGCCATTTAAAACGTGAAAATAATGTTTGTGGTCCTTCAGTATGATACTAGAGTCTCTAAAAAAAAGAACAAAGGCACTCTCCCCCGATATGCCCTTGTTTTATAGTCAGTGCATTGCAGTTGGCAGAGAATACCATCAATGCATCGTGTGGACATAAGGCAATAAAAATGTAATCTATGCTGTGTTTACTCTATCAAGCTACATTTCTTTTTTTATGTCTATGGACACGTACCGATATGGGAACTTTGTCAAATATGTGAAATGAATGTGAAAGAATGAATGCTGGTGTCATTTTTATTAATATCTATATTCTCTACTTAGCACAATGCACCAAAATTTAAAAGCATCCTCAAGTCTGCCTCTAAAAAACATATGTGAAGCAACAGCAATAACTGGCATTTAGAATGTCTAAACCTTAGGTTATTGCTTTTGTCAATTTGTCAGAAGCTATTTTCAACTTCATTAATAGTGGCTCATAAAGAAACGACCTGTCATAACTACTCAACACTCAAAAGATGAGTTCAAAAAGTCAACATCTTCAATATTGTCCACTTTTGTAGAAATTGTAGCAGTAAAAGCAGATGGAACTGTTAACCTCTATGGAGATCTTAAGGATAAAACCAATTTCATTTTACATCAGCCTTCCATAAGCAGTCTTTCCCTACACTTGTATATTTTATTTTATATTGTCATTTAATTCTATCACATGCCTGGGTCTCATCTCATCAATAAAGCTATCAAGTTATTGAAAGCAGGGTACTTGGATTACTTTGGTGGTGCCCATCAAAATACCTAGCTTAGCACTAGCACATCCTGCAGTTACAAGTAACTGCTGTATTAAACTAAGGATTGGCCTGTTGGATGCTTTTTTAAAAAAATAACGTTTTATTGAACCACAGCATCTATCTGTTTACATATAGTCAGAACAGCGAGAGCACCTTCTACCTTATCTTGCAAAAGGATAGTGGTCTAACAAATTAAATTTCATAAACATCTACTGAGAACTGGAGGCTACTGATATTCTAACACTTCAACATGTCCTCAAGCTTGTGGAAAGTATACCTATTTACACCAGCCTAGTTATATCTCAGAGTCAGACATGGGGAAACTACTAGTCTGGAACAGTGCTTCTCAAGCCAGGGTGATTTTACACCCCCCCCCCTCCCGTGGACACATTTAGAATAGTCTGGAGATACTGTTAGTTATCACAGCTAGAGTTGTGTTAAAGGAGCCAGTGATGCTGCTAAATATCCCACATGCATAAGAAAGACTCCCACCACAATGAATTATCTGGCCTGAAATGTCAACTGTCAAGGTTGACAAACCTTGGTCCAGATGTTGTTTGTACCACATCACTGCAAGTGAAGGAGCCAGAGATCGGTCACTGTTTGGCCAGATCCCATGGTGCAATCAGCTGACTGAGAATGAGCATGATGCTCTTTCTAAGATTAAATGCATTAAGGAGTTGGTCTGTTTGCCTTTTGAGATGCAATCTGAGGAGACCACTAGAAAAAATTATCATAGCCTCATATCTGATATATAAACTAATCAACAAATATTTATATAATAACTTTACTATTTATGAACACTGCATGGTACAGACAATGTGAAATTTCTGCACTGTCCTAAACCCAAATGGGCAGATGCAAAATTAATGTTGGAAATGACTCAGCTCTCTCAAGATTCTTTATCTCAAATGGCAAAGGATTTTTTAAAGGATTCAAATCCGTAAGTTCGAATAAAATGGAAGCTCTCAATCACATTTTTCTGTCCCTTATATTTGTGATTTAGACTCTTATGTATAAAAACGAAAGACTCCCAAAAAACTGTGTCCCTAAATTGCAATGCTTAAAAATTGGTTTTTATGAGAAAAATTTAAAATATACAAATGCCTGATTATAATAAGTCTTGATAGGATAATTATTTGATTTACAATTTAGACAATCATACATTTTCTTCCTAAGTGTAATCATGTATCAGTTCAACTGGAAAGCTTTTTCTATCTCATTTCACATTTATCATTTCACTAGAAGCAGCTCAGACTGCGCTACCTGTGAAACCAACCAACTTTGTACAAAGAGGTGTCATCCAATTAGCTCTAACTTGGTGAAGAGCAAGTGTAAGCCCAAGTTGCCTAATCAAACAGGCTTGCTTGCCTTCAGTTGTGGCTCATTTTCTCTGAATTGGGTCTGCTATCTGCATTTGACCTCCATATGACCATGACTTTTTCAATTCAAATGTGCAGCTTCATGATAAATAAGACTGCATGGCTGCACAGGCTATAAATAACTAGAAATTATATGCTTTCTCTTGTCTGTTTGTACTCGCACTGCAAAACCCTTCACTTGCTGTGATTAAATAGTCTCTGCAGGTAGACAAGAAAATATAGCTGCCAAAATAACTGTATCCTCCTAGAATGGAAAGGTGTCAGGAACCCAAACACACTGCAAGTGGATGAAGAAAATTACTGGGAAAGAGAAAATTACAAAACAGGCTTTCAATATTGTTTGGAAGAGTGGACAACACAAACAGTAGTTATGTGTACTTCATGAAAAAAAATTTATCAAATGTTCACTTCCATCAATTAATAAAAATGGAAAAATGCAATTCTTTTATATCTTATAATGATATAGAATGAAACTTGAAGGAAAAATAATCAGTTTTGTAAAAGTGTGGGACAGACATTTAATTTACTGATGTATGTGATGTTCATGGAACTTAGGAAAATATGTTCTTAATATTCTTCATTGTCTTTCCACTGTTTTCTGTATTCTTAAAATGTGCTTCTGAACCTCGAAAGCAGTTTTGCTAACCAAGAAGACAATGTCAGAACCAAATGCTTAGCCATTTGGTATACAGAATACATGCAGCCAAAATGTCATTTAGGTTTCAAACCTGGTCCTGCCATTCTATGGCTCAGGACAAGTCACTAAGCTCTTTAAGCCTCATTTTCTCACATGTACAAAGAAAATAAGTAAAACATCCACAAAGTATCCTGGAGAAAAAGAGAGGATCGGCAAAAATGCTCGGTACAAAGCAACACGCCATGCAAATCAATGTATTATCAATCCTATGTGCAATAAGTTGAGTTTTTCCTCATCCTTCTCTGTCTACACAGTGGCCATTCTTTTGATGTTCTTAGAGAATAATGCTATGTTTATTGTGGCAGTAAAATCCACATCCTTCAAAAGTTTACCTAATATTATACGTTATATCTTACAAAGGCCATTAAAACACTTAGAAATCTTCTGTAAAGTACATAATTCTCCATCTATAATTTATTGTTTTTTAAAATTTAAGACACTTGGTTTCATCAATTTTAAGACTAGTTTTTTCTTCCAGAATAATGTAGATAGATGCTAATTTGAATTATAAAATATCTAAGCTACAACTGAAACTGTGTCTCTTCTTCCAACGATAAGGATCAATAGTACATGTCATCCCTAACCTAAAGCTGGATAAACCTACTTCTAGATATAATCCAAATTCAAAAATGAGTGTTTATGTATTTGACACCACATCTGAAGCCAAGCTAGACTAATAATAACTGAAATAATCACAAAACTTAAGACATCGTAAGACCTGCAGCAGTTGTTCGATACATTTTTTTATAGGAAGCTCTTTCTCTCCTTCCTAATGATAAGATCAAAAGCCATGCACCTCTGACCTACTACTGTGCATTCTGAGAGAGAAGGAAGAGGTGGTTCAATGACCTAAAGTGACCTTTCACTTTTAACTCTGAAACAATTGTCTTACAACACATAACTGAAACCTGAGAACACAAATGAGTCCGCGTACCACAGTACAAGAATATTAAACATTTTTCTGGGAAATAAATTACTCACATATATGGTCTCTTTTTAAATTGTGGCATTTTAGCAGCTTTTTAGAAAACAAAATAATGATACCAAATAAAACACAAAAATAATGTTGCATATACAATATTTAATAGAGCCACACTAAATAAAAAGGAAATTGACAGAAATAGAAGCTGAGTCAGTATTGTTAGCCTGACATTTCAAGTTTTCTGGCAAAATTAGACATCATTACAAGCAAGGTAATATTCAAGAACCACAGAACCATGCAGAGAAGGTGATGATACTGGAGTCATCACCCAGCCATGCAACATACCCCACCTCCCTTCCCACAAGTGAACGACAACATACGTTTAACAGCATCTTGGGGAAGAGGTTCCCAGGTAGTCTTGAGTAAACTTTGGGACACTATGGAGAAAATAAGAGAATATAACTAAAAACAAAAACAAACATGGAAATGAAGGGTGAAACTCTCTCACACAATTCCATTGACCAAAACAAAATAAAAAACAAACAGAAAAATCATTCAATTAAAAACAAAAAAACTAAACAAATACCCTGAGGTTTAGTTTCTCTGTGAAACCAAAGTAAACATATAAACAGAAGATCTATTTTAACAAGAGGTTAACATCTGAGAATGCTGGATATTTTGTCTCTGGTAGTACATCCAAGTAATCTATTAGAGGATTTCTTGCTCCTATTCTTCATTTAGTTCAAGTATCCATAATTCCCAATTCATTTCTCACAGTATCTCCATTTGTGTCACCCATTCATAGGGAAGCTTCTGGCTCTCGACTATAGCTATTTGTTGAGATTTTATTCTCCACTTATACCTGTCCACCTAACAGACCTCAGCCTCTGGCCCTTGCCTTCTTGATACATTACTCTGTAACCCATCCCCCTCTAATACTTAGTACAGCTCAGTTTTACCGTGTACATCCCTGTTGGGAGCATCCACCTTTTGCAAATGTTACAAAGTGTGTGCTGTCCAGGGAACCTGCATCCAACCCATGAAGCCCAGTGCTCACTCCCAGTCCAAAGTGATTAAATGGCGAGGGTGCTGGGGGAAGGCAGTAGTGGGATGAGGCGGGGGTGGGTGGGGGGGGATAATTTCTTACTCTTGAGGCAAATTCATCACTGCTAATAATTTTAAAACAAAGCAAAACAAACAAAAAACCCTCTTTCTTATTACTGAAACATATATGGTATCCCAGAAAATAAACCCACTTCAGGAAAGAAGGAAAAAAGTTGGAAATCTGCCAGAAAAACCTCACCCAAGAACTAAACCAGTTGGAATCACTGTAACAAAAGCCCTTTGTTCCAAAGGCTCCAGGCAACAGAATTCCCCACTGTGTTCCCATTACCTGACCTAATTAATTTCTCAGTTTGCAACTGAAGACCAGAGTCTTTTGAGCTAGAAGCTGCAATAATCCAATCTCAGCCAGAAAAGAACCCTTGGGGTTACCAGTTCCTACACCTGCTCTCATACAGGAGTGAAGTAGAATCACCTCATAAACGGGTGATGGCAGGAGACAAATGCTGGATCCCACTTCCATACTAGGCTCCTTCACAATGGAAGGTCTTAATGGTGTAGATCCTTCTGTCGTTTTGCTTAATCCTACAATCCCACTGGAAGACAATTTATATAATCCCCACGAATCCTAGACAGAAAATGGTGGCTGCCACCCTTAACAACACAAGGGCGAAAAGGCAGGAGTCTCAAAAAAAAAAGCACAACTATTGAATATATTTTTTAATCAAGTTTTCAATCAAGTTGAGTAATTCTTTATTGAGTAGTACAAATGCCCTACTCATGAACAAAATAAATAAACAAAATGGAGACTTTAACTCTCAAGGCTGTTTAACAAGAGCAGAAGTTTCATATATTTGCTACATTAATTTCCCCTGAGAATTATCTATTTGGTGGGGGGAGTTTCATCTTGCATTTAAGTCATCATGACTTCATATATTTATCCACCAGAGTTATGAAAAACTTAATATTCAAGAGAAAGGCTTTAAAAATGATATTCCTTGAGTCTTATGTCACTGAAAGTTTCTAATATGAAGTCAGGAGTTTTCTTCTATCTATTTCTAAGAGAGGAAACGAAAACTTGACATTGCAAATGTCTATGTGCTGAGCTCAGCAGCAACACAGGCATTTCCACTCTCTGGCATGTGAGGTCCATGAACTCAATTCAATCCCATTCTCTCTCCACCACAATACAGTACTCACGTTACAAACTAACTTAAAGGTATTCATCACAGCAATCCTCCTTGCCAACGCAACTGAAGCTTCATCAGCCAGGCTTCCGTGGTAGATCGTTTTTGCACCGGGAGGGTACATGCATAAACACCAACACATACGTACAAAGACAGACATGTATGTATGCAATTGCAGAAACGGCTGCCGAAGACAAAACAGCCACCCCAGCTTTGTTTTAAAGAGAAGCACTCAGAAGTCCCTCCAGAATGCAAGACGCATCTACCCCAGCTGGTAAAAGAACACATCCACAGCCATGCCTTATTAGAGAAAGACAAGAGGTGTGCTCATGACTGAACATACTGTGGAGACTCTGGGCAATTAGAGAAGTTGACAGGAAGGTGGTTAGTGGTAGCAACAGGCCCATTCCCAAGAACCAGGAAAATCAATCTGTTACAGAGAGCAGAGTCAGTGGCAAGAAAGACGAGAGGTGGCCAGGCTGGAAGAAAGGTCCACTTACTGACGCTGCCACACACCGCCATGCAGTATTCTTCTGTGTCAAAGTTGTTCCTGTTGCCGCCACATCCGCCGTAAAAGAACGGGGCACACTTCCCTTCAGTGACATCAAAGTACCAGCGGGAGATCATTGCTCGGCAGGGCCCGGTCTCGGCTTGTTCAGAGCACACCTCTAATCAGAGGAGATGTGGGGAACCACATTTAGCACGAAAGGCACCGAGTTGGTGTTCATGTACACACGTTCACATGACTTATGCATTAATCCTCCCAGTAGTAACTGGGACTGGTTTAATTAGACAGCATCTACCAAACATTTACTGAGCAATTTAATCACCCACCAGGACTTCAGAGTTACCTCTGTAACAAGAGCAGGGCGTTCCCACCTGGCTCAATGAGTGTAGCACTCAGTAGTAATAATAACAGGATTCCGGCTAGAGGTGAAAATATCCTTTAGCTGCTTTTAGGTGAACGTTAAATGACAGAAGGTGCCTGTACATCAAAACCATTCTCCATGTGAAAAATAAACTTCTCTTTTAAAGTAATCTCAAGTCAACTTTGATGTCAAAGTACTGTTTTGGTTATGATGCAAACGTTTAAGCTCTTGCAAACATCTGATTGTTCACCTGAATCAATGACTGGCTTGACTCAAGTGTGAAATTAGTTGTGTGTATTTTGAATGTTTTCCAGTTTTTGGAGAGAGCCAACCTGTCCAGTGACTATATCTGGAAACATATGTAATACCTGTAAATGTGACTTATAGTTGATTACACTGACTCTAATTAAAGACAATTTTTATTTGTACATCTGACCCTTGGGCAGAAAAATAAAATATAATCAACAACTCTAATTTGTTAACACATACCATGCATTGTTTTTCATTAAAACACACCTTACCTGTCAACATGTCTTGCCACCCTCCCCAATATCAGTTTCATAATCTCTGACTGACTCAAAGATTGACTCATCCAATTCCATTTGTAAAGTTAATCATGATTAGAATTAGAACCTCTCATGTATATCCCATTTTTGTTGGAAGTAAAACAGCAGCCCCAATTCTCCCTCTGGGTTTGCACCCTGCCCTTCCTTGCTAAGCTGGTAGAGAGCCCGCTGATGCCTTAGCACACAATGTCTTGCTTATTCTTAGTTTAACTAACACACCAAGGGAAAAACACCTTTTTATGAGACAAAAGCCATGCATAACCCAGAGCTTCCAAGTTAGAAGTATTCAACAGATTGATTCTAATCAACTAATCAAAGACAAAGACCCACAATGTCAATGTAAAAGAGAACTCACATTTTACTTCCCTATACACGCTACTCATTGCTCTTTCAGTAAAGGCAATGAGAGCTGAGTGGGTAGCTCAGTTGGTTAGAGCGTGGTGCTGATAACCCAAGGTCCAGGGTTCAATCCAGCTGCAAAAAAAAAAATAAAAACTAAAAAAATAACAGAACTGAGATGATGGCAAAACCAAAAGCTGATGCCAACAGGGAGGACACAGCACTGAGCTTACAAGGTACGTGTCCAGCACTGCAGGAGAAATGCCCTGTGTAGCAGACATCCAAGGTGGTTCTGGCTGTCTTTGGGTGGTTTTGAGATGGCAGCATCTGACTCCAGGAGCATCAAGCTCCATGTTGCCCATCATTAAGGGCACCCCATTCAGTGCTGCTGCTTTGAAAGTCCATGCTCCCCAAGCATGTTTCTTTAATTGGCTGTTCAGAATTCTCCTGTAGGATGAAAAACAACTGATCTGTTGACACAAGTGAATCCCCTGCCCCCATCCCATGGCAATTTTATTTATCCTCCAAAACAAAAGAACTGGCATTCTAACTTGTACAGGGTAAATTGGTTTGGGGGGTCTTATCACCCCTGAGTTACCTACAGAGCAGCTTCTGGAATGCAGAGCTAAATTCATGCCCCAGATGTGGGCGCCCTGCCAACCCCACCCATCATCTGTCTCTACTCCTAAACCTTCTCTCAGGTGCAGCAAACACGTACAAATTGGCTTTTCCCCCTTCCTCTGTGTCTCCCTCACCAATCTGTACATGTTCATGTTTCATGCTCTTTCGTGTTTCTAAGACACATGACAATACTCATCATTAATCTCCTCCTCACACTGTATTAATTCCAACAAGACTAAGAGACAGGGGTGTCTCCTGAGCCTACACTGTTGACAGGGCATGGCCACCGCTACCAAAGGAGGCAGAGAATTCCTCCACCTGGTGGCACAGCCCTAAGTCATAGGAGCACTGGCAGCAAAATTCGCCATGCCTCGACATTCCTGCAAATTCCCACATTTTTTTTTTTTTTTTTTTTTTTTTTTGTGTCCGGCAACGGGATTGCAACCCTCGGTGTTGCTCCCGCGCCTCGCTCAGCCAGTGAGCGGGAACCGGTCTGTATGTGGGATCCGAACCCTCGGGCGGGAGCGCCACCGCGCTTCCCAAACGGTGCACTATCCAGCGCGCCACCGGGCCGGCCCCAAATTCCCACATTTTATATCTCTTAGAGTACCAAATACATGTCTTTTGATAACTTGTCTGCCACTGGCCCCATATCTCTGCAGGCACAGGAAACTTGTCTATATGACCTCTCCTATGTACTAAATAAAAGTGGTAGAATTTTAGGTTGGTGCAAGTTAAGTAAAGGGATAAAAGAATGATGATCAGAGGAGCTCATCCATGATAGATATTTGTGACCCAGTAACCATTTCTTACTTCCAGAACTCAAATGGCATTATAATATATCATCATTTTCCTACACCACCAGTGAAACATAATGATACATTTTTATTTTCTGCCTCATTCTAAAATAGCTATGAAACCTTTTGTTACAGCTAATTTGTAGAAACCAGGCCAAATGAGCCCTAATCAGCAAAAATAAGCATTTTGAACTAAAAAATCCATTTATATGTCAACTAAGGAAATAGAATGAAATACATGATGTACCCACAACCCCTTTTGGAGTCTCTAGCCATAAGAGTCTTGACTCATTCACTCAGAAAAGGTCAAGAAGAAAGTGAGATCTCCACTTGGGCAGTGTTGGGTTGGCTGTCTTGACCTTGAATGGCCTCAAAGAGTTTCATGACCTTGGTGGAGTCCGTGAGAACCTTGCAGGGAAGAGCAACCAATGCCACAGGTACTCATATACAAGAGGACATTGGAGGGAATGTGGTCAGAAATGCGTACAGCAGTGTGCGATAATCTAATACCAAATATATAACGTATGGAGGAGCAGACGTACGTGAGCCCGGAAGAATAGGGCTGAGAACGTGCCTCTTTCGTTCTTAATCTCTAAAAGACACCTTGTCCAACTCCCTCTGATTTGCTGACCTACAGAAGCACATTCCATCTGCCCCAGTGCCAAAGAAAGCACATACAGGTCTTCTTGCAACCCCTGTACTGGCAAAAAGGGTTTCTCGTTATCATTTGCCCAAATAGCAGCATCACAGAACAACCATCACCTGGCACTTCCCTTCACTTTCCCTTAGGGCTATGACTAGAACATCAACTTTCTAGAGTAGCAGAGCTGATTTCAGAGAGGACCCTGAGTAGGACACATTATTTATCCTCTCTTACTCAAAATCGTATTCCTATGCAACTGTAGGGCAGTGTTTGGTCTCTCTTGAGATTTTCTCTAACCATTCATCATTCCAGAAAAATTGTCCATGTGGCTGAAAAGAGAACCTTTGCTGAGTCTGGGAGAAGTTGAGGGGTAGGAGTGGGGTCAGCACCAGAAAAGTATTAGGCTAATATTTTCACACAAAGTATTAAAAAGTATGCAAGAAACAGCAGACTTTTGGAAGAGAACACGGAGGAGCAGGAGTAAATACCTGGGTTAAAAAAGTGTGATAAAGGATTAATGTCAATTTTGTAGTTGGGATATTGTACTGAGTGAAGAATATACAGGATCTCTTTGTAGTAATTCTTTCAAGTGCACGTGAATCTGTTAAAATCTCCAAACAAGTACAAATAAAACAAAACAAAATAAAATGAAACCTCCATTAAAAAAGTAGGAAGTTCTCACTCATAGTGTGAGCTAAGAGAGAAAGAAAGAAGGAGAGAAAGACCACAGTGGTGCATTAGACTTGCAGAGAGAGAGAGAGAGAGAGAGCATACATACATAGGGTTGGGGGGGGGGATAGGGCGGTGTTGGGGATTAATTGGGTGGGGAGTGGGGAACATGGGGAATAATCACAATTTGTGGTAATGGGCATCCTGATACCTGATCTGACCATCATATCCTGGACCCAGGTGGCGACAGTGAGCTTTGTACCCCGTGAATATGCATAATCAATACAAACAACAACAACAACAAAAAGTAGGAAGTTCAGTTTGCCTTACAATTGTAATCTTGTCACCTTCCTATTCCCACAAAGTGCTACAAATCTCGGTTTGAGAAATTTTCCCTTAAATCCCTTTCCAGCAATGGTAAATTACCAAGAGATCTAACCACTCAGGATTCTAGCCAAGTAGAAGAGTTTTAAAGCCTTGAGACCTGAAATACATCATTTATAAGTTACATGATGAGATTCACAGAAAAAGAAATCTCAAGAGAGATTTCAAATGCTTACATTTACATGATTTTCTACTTTCTTCAATAGAATAGTTTCTTCCTAATCTACAGAAATTACTAAAACAATTCAGTGAAAAACCTGTTACTATTATTACTCAGTGGAAAATTATTTATAATTTCATCCACTAAACGTAGAGCATGTAAATTAGACCTTATATAACTAACCCCAAGTAGAATTCATCTGAAAATTACAACTGCATCTTCCAAATATATAATATACATAATTGTCAATTTAAAATAAAAATTAAAAAATAAATGAATTTAAACAAACAGAAACCCCGCATCTTCCTTTTCTCATCTTCATTCTCTTCCCAAAATCGAAAATAATAAAGGAAAAGACTATCATTTTAAAATCATATGCTAAACTCAGTTTTTTGAATTCCAGTCTACCTTAATTTTTACTCAAAGCAAATGTTATGGATAATAATGAAGAGAAATTTTACCCAGAATAACAGAAGCAGGGATATTTCTCAAAGAGAATGTTTAAGCAGAAACACAGGTACAGACTCACATGAACATCTAAGGAATGACCATCCTTGTTCATTCATATTTAGTTCTGTAAACTTTGAAAATCACAAATAGGTTTTCTAATGTTCATTTAG